TTGCCAGGCTCGTTAAAAGAGAGCCGTGTCACCCTTATTTTTCGATACTTATTTGGCTTCTCATATTAAGTTAATCATTTTTTTGGGGGGGGGAGGCAGGATTTTGGCATGCCCCAAATCAAATATAAATAAGGACATCATAAAGAGGGTAAGGGAGGGATGGAGGGAGGCCTGGCCAGATCTTTTTGCAATGATGTGAACTTTGTACAAAAGAAGACGCATTAAAATCACCCAGAACTTGACTTCATTTTTTTCTCCCGCCTAATAAACAGCTTTATTATTTTAGAAAACCTACGAAACAGCTAGGAGAGGCAGCTGGTGCAGAATAGTTGGGCATGCCCTTTTTATAGAGGACTGGTGCCATGCTTTGGCACACACTTCTCTTGGCTGTGCATGAATAGCTTGCCGTATAGGGCCAATTACATCCTGGAATGACATGGCATAAAGACCTGATGCAATCTGCCATCTTAGCATCTTGTATGAGGCATGTAAAGCACAATCGCTCCTGGGGAGCATCCGGTTAAGAATGCATAGACTGTAATGTGTCGGGTGGTATGTGTGCAAAAGAAGGAGCTGTGATGGGGTGTTAAGCCTGAAAATGTTTTATTTGGGATCCCCAACCCCACACCCCTTCGTTTGATACAGAGCCTGCTCCCAGAGCTATTTGACTTGCTGCCTCATTAGGATTTTGCCACTCTCTTCATGCTGCTAAAGGAATGGGGAATATTCCACCAAGCTGCAAATATTGCTCGTAAATCCAAAAATCCTTTGTTATGCTCAAGCCGAAGATTCTCAAACTGGGAAGCAAATGGTGCGGTACTGACAACTCACAGCTGCACTGTCCCTTTTTATCATATGGCAAATAACAAGCAATCGTTAAGCATAAACCTCTGAGCATCTCACAATTTGTCATATCATTTATACAAAATGTGATGGTTAGGATTGTCAGTCAGCAGCAGAGGATGACATTGTGGGGCTGGCCTGCTCTACTGCTCTCCCTCTGCCTGTGTTGCTGCTAGGCGACTCCCAAGACATAAAAACATAATAAAACATCAAACATTAATAGTAGCAATCTGATCCAATATAGAAGTCACAATAACATTAGAATAAACAACTTATAGCCAACAAAGCAATGTTCGACAATCCATCAAAATCTAATAGTAAACAGTAAAATTGAACATCAGCAAATAATAATTAAACAGTTCAACCACAACAAATAATTACCAATCTATAATCAGTAAAAATAGCAGCAAATCACAATTCATAAAATACCACAAAACATACAAACCCATGTAAAAGGGTCAGATTGAGAAACAAAGAAGCACAACTTATAAAACTATTTTTTTAAAATACCCCTAAACGCCTTTCTTCTCAGCTGCTACTGCTGTTCTCAAAGTCATAGTTGGGGAAAGGCTAGGTGGGGCAAGGCAGGTGGAAGCACCATTGCCTGATGAGGAACAGAAAGTCTCTCTCCTATTATTATTATTATTATTATTAGTAGTAGTAGTATTAATTTTCTATGCTGCCCATCTGTCTGAGTTGCCCCAGCCAGATCGTAAAAACACAATGCAACACCACACACACAAAAACTTGTGTACAGGACAGGTGAGACAGGAGTGAGGTCAGCATGGTGTAAACACATTAGGTTGTCAATCTGAATCTCCTGCTGGCGTGTTTTCACTATGTGGACCTTGCTGCCTCTTCACCTTGCCCCTCTCTCCATCCAAGCACACAGCAGGAACACAACCAGAGGTAGGTGACTGACAAAGCAGCCTTGAGTCTCTGTCAGGGGAAAAGGTGGGGTATGAATAAATATACAACAACAACACACTGCTCACTGCTGCTAACCAGCCAGATTCTTTCTGGTCTGATCAATAAAACTGTGTTCTGTCATTTGTCCTGATTATTATTGGAAGCTGAAAAGCCAGTAAGCTCCAGTTTCTGCCTTGGCTCCATCCCTGACATGATCTTTTCTGGTTCTGAACCTCCTGGCCATATCTGGAAACTTAGTATGAAAAAATGGAATCATTTGGTCAACATGCACAAGGCCCAGACCTGACCTGCCATAATTAAGAATTTATTTGCGAGGAGTGGGGGAAATGTTTGAATTCACTGAAGTATATGGGATAGCATGCTTAACGGCCAGTCAGTCCTGTGTGTGCATACCGTGGTACCATGGTTCTCAAGCTTAAGGCGTTTGAGAACCAAAGTACCACTGTATTTGGAAATAAGTCATGGGAAATGAGTTCAAGGGGGTGTACTCCCAGGTAAGTGGGCAGGGACGTGTATTTTTGTTGTTGTTCTGTAAAGCACATAGGCATTGATTGTGAAATCACTCTTCTTCTTGTTGTTGCTATTGTTAAAAATAAAATTCATAGAAGAGGCACGTAACATTCTTCGCACCTCTTTGTACCCAGAGTGTATATTCCATAGTTATTGACTTAGCTTATAACAAGACTAACTACATGATCATTCTTTTCATTAATAACTTAAAGCAGGTCTATACTGCCGTTGATCTACGCAGCTTTCTCCTTCCTACAAAAGTAACAGCACTTGGCTTCCATAATTTTCATGTAAATGATCTTTGGGGCTCTGTAAATGTCAATATGCTTGTACGGCTTTATGTGTTAGGTTTTTATAACCACTCTGCATGTGTGAGAGGAGAATGAACAGAGAAAACGTTCATTCGAAGATCCATACTCCTCAGTGACTCTGGGTGTATTTCAGTGGCACACTGATTTGTTTGCTGTTATTTATTAAAATGTATTAGTGCTCTTTTATGTCTACAAAGCAATGAAAGTAAGGAGCGAGTTAAAAACATGAAACCATTGTAGCAAATTAGGATGCTTACTTCATCACCAGGACACTAGGGGATGCTTAAGTAGTTCAAATGAATTTTTGAGGGCCAGGCAGCCAGACTCCTAGATAAAAGGGTGGTTCTGGTTGTCAGCAAACAACCAGAGGAAAGTCGTTTCTGATGAAGCTGAGACAAGTGTGCTTTGCTTTTTTTTATTATTTCCAGAAGCCTAATTAATCCAAGTACAAAAGTAACAAAGAGAGAAGAGAGGTGGGGTTGCCTGGGGGGAAAGGACATAAGAAAGGGAGCAAAGCTGACTAGTCATCGGATCAAGTTGGATAGAAGAGACTCCACAAAGTCAGAACACTCTGACAGATTCAGGTTACACGCAAGCTGCATTTTATTCAGTCTCCCCATTGTTTCTATGCCTGATCATGTTCACATTTTATGTGACCTTTCACACATAAAAGCCACTTCTGAAAATCTAGCAGAATCAAGTTGAAGCTGAGTTCCCATTTCTGTATTAATTGCATCAAGAGAACAAGTCAATTTTCAGCCACCTTAACCCCAGGAGATCAGTATTCAAATTCCCACTCAGCCATGAAGCTCACAGGCTAATAATAATAATAATAATAATAATAATAATATAATTTTTATTATTTACAGTGGTACCTTGGTTCTCAAACTTAATCCATTCCAGACGTCTGTTCCAAAACCAAAAGGTTCCAAAACCAAGGTGCGCTTTCCCATAGAAAGTAATGCAAAATGGATTAATCTGTTCCAGACTTTTAAAAACAACCCCTAAAACAGTAAGTTAACATGAATTTTAGTATCTAATGAGACCATAGATCCATAAAATGAAAGCAATAATCAATGTACTGTACTATAAAATAAATAAGACAGTATTGTAGATGATAAAAATTAAAATCATTAAATTATTTTCTTCTTTCCTGCACTGATGGTAGTCACTGTTTGGATGGGGGGCTTTTATCCATTTCTACAGTAACAAAATCAATCAATCAATCAATCAATCAATCAATCATAAAATGAAGAACAAGCCACAGTCACAAAAATGAAAAAGCCACACAAACAAAAATCCCAAAAAATAGCAAAAACAAAAGCACCAAATATAAGATCCAAATATCACCTCAGAACCCTGCAATTGGAAATGGAAGGCTTTGATTACAATGAGGGAGGGGGACGCAAATTAGCAGTGCAACAGTGAAAACGGAAGCTTAGGAGGACGTTCAGCTTCCAAAGCAAAGTTCGTAAACCGGAAAACTGACCTCCAGGTTTGCAGTGTTCAAGTTTCAAGTTGTTTGGGAACTAAGCTGCTCGAAAACCGAGGTACCACTGTATACCCCACCCATCTAGCTGGGTTTCCCCAGCTACTCTGGATGGCTTCCAGCGCACATAAAAACATAATAAAACATCAAAGGTTAAAAACTTCCCCATACAGGGCTGTCTTCAGATGCCTTCTAAACGTTGTATAGTTCTTTATCTCCTTGACATCCATGGGGTGGGTGCCACTACTGAGAAGACCCTCTGCCTGGTTCCCTGTAACTTCACTTCTCTCAGTGAGGGAACCAGCAGAAGACCCTCGGAGGAGGGCCTCAGTGTCCGGGTTGAGCAATGGGGGTGGAGACGCTCCTTCAGGTATACTCACTCTCATCCTAACCTACCTCACAGAGTTGTTGTAAGGATAAAATGGGGAAAGAAAAGAGCTATGCATCATTGCCCTTGCATTGTTCAGACAACATGGACATTTCTGGAGATAAAGGTACTGAATTTTTGCATAATCGCCAACATGGTTCTGTATAAAACCCATATGGACCCATAAGGAAAATGTCAAAAACAGAGTCTGGCAAATGGTTTTGTGAACCAGCTCCAATCAGCACATATGCAGTTGACCATTTAAAGACAAGGTGTTGAGAAATTGAAATGAATGGCATATGTCATGGTGGTTTACGATTTGGCAACTCAACCCGCATATCATTCTAAAACTTTTACCGATGATAATGTTAATACAATACCCAAAGAAACCCATTTACCATGACTGTTTATGAAGATCCATCCTGAATATGTTCAGCATCTGCCTGACCGTTAACTGCATCTCACTTTTTGAAGACTTCAAATGTATCCTATTTGTGACATCATGGATGATATCAGAATGCCATGTTTGCATTTATCCTAGGCTCTCTCCATGCCAACTGTGGTGGCAGTGAACTACTGTAAAGTAAGTAGCATACAACCTGACTGTCCAGCAAATCCAATGTTTATTTTTGGCCTTGTAATTTTTTAATAAAGCTAATATACTTCTCAAATAAACCTATTTATCACCACATGTTAAAAGATTCATCCCGATTGTGTTCCTATTCCATTTCACAATCCGTTCAGGTAAGTTTCTCCTCAATGGAAGACCATGCCAAAATAACATTGCTAAAAAGAGAGAGGAATATGCCAATATGGTAACATTTCTCTATACTATTTTCTATAGGAGAGGGGAGGAGAGATGCACACACCAGAAAAATGGTTTTGTAGTATGAGGCTGCCTTCAGAATACCAGAGTGGGAAGGCTACATTATCATGGACCTAGATCTAAAATGTAAGGCAGATGAAGTTAAATGGGTCCATTAGTAAAATGTCAAAATCCGCAGTCAAGCCATACTTTTATTAGGACTAGCCAAAATGTCACAGAACATGATTCTGCAAATCATCCCAAGCAGTCACACATATGGTTGAGTCTTTGATTAACAAGATGTTCAGAAAGTGTAAAGTTTTCACAGTGCCTATAAACTTATTTATCACCACCTGTTATGAAAATCCATCTTCACAGTGCCTAGTCATACTGCTGACTCTTTCAGTTTGTCAAGCCTGGGAGCTTATCCTATCTGTGACATCGTGCATGACATTCAGATCTAGCTCCATGTCAACAGAAGTGACCAGTAAATCTCGGTTAGTAGATCCAAGTTGGTAGCTGTGTTGGTCTGCCGTAGTCAAAATAAATTAAAACAATTCTTTAAAAAGATAGTTAAAAGGGCTCTTCTTAAAAACCTAAAAACCCACTTTAAAGAATCAAGTCTTTTAAAGACTTTCTTAGATCATATAACTTTTTTCAAGACTTGATTCTTTTAAGTGAGTTTTTAGGCTTTTAAGAAGAACTGTGATGGGAAGATGAGCTGCTTGTGCGTAAAATCGTATTCCCTCAGTGTTTGTTCAAGTCCACAAACCTCTGTCTGTGACGGAGCCCCTCTGACATGGCTCCTCTAGTCACTAGAAGATTCCGACAGTGGTTGCTTTCGTAATCGCTTCCAACATAAAAGCTCCTTAACGGAAACACGTCTTCTGGACTCTCTGCGTGACAGTTTCCGGCGAGGAGTGGGTGTCCCTACAGGAGGTCCGGAAACCTCACCACTGTTTTCGCTGGAAGTATCTCTGAGCCATCCCCCAGCTCCCTTTCCCTCAGTTCAGCTTCTCTCCCCTGCTGGTTTCCTCTTCAGCTGCTGAGTCTCTTCCAACCTGTCTGAGCCCTTTCACCTCCCTCAGTTCAGCTTCTCTCCCCGTGCTGGTTCCCTGTTCAGCTGCTGAGTCTCTTCCAACCTGTCTGAGTCCTTTCACCTCCCTTCCTTCCGATGGCAGTTCCCTGACATCCACCTCCCCTCCAGGGCCCCCTTCACCCCCTCTCGCCCCTCCTCTACGGGCGGTGAGGAGGCAAAACCCGGAATGAACTTCCTTCATCTTCCGATGTCTCGAACACTTCTCTCCACCTGTTGCGGTTCCTGGTCTCGAAGCACTCCTCCTCCTCCGAGTCCATCTCCCCTTCCCCTTCCGATTCTGGGAATCCTTCCAACTCCTCCTCCTCCTCAGTGGTCCCAAAGTATTCCCTCCGGAACCTCTCCACAGGCTGAGGTTTCCTCGGGAACCTTTGATGGAACGTTTCTATCAATACCTCGTCATTGATATCTTCGGCCATTACCCACGTGTTTTCTGACTCCGGTTCTCCTTCCCACGCTACCAAATACTCCACCTGATTCCCCTTCCACCTGGCATCAAGGATTTCTGCCACATGACTGCTGCATTCTCTTTCTTCTATGACCGGTCCCCGAGTGGCCATCCCTTCTCGTCCCCTCGTACGGTGACAGTAACGACCTGTGAAATACTGGGTGCAGTTTCATGTGGTTGGGTAACCGGAGCCTGAAAGCCACTGGGTTGACCTGTTGAATGACCTCAAAGGGACCCAACCTCCTGGGTCTTAATTTCTTACAACCTCCTTTGAACGGCAACCCTCGGGTTGACAGCCACACCCTATCTCCAACCCTTATGGTTTCACCTTCCCTTCGGTTCTTGTCTGCCTGCCTCTTGTATTCTTCCTTCGCCCTTTCTAAGTTGAGTTGGAGCTGACGGTGGATTGCTTCCATTTCTTCTACAAAATGCTCGGCTGCCGGTACGCTCCATCTCTCCCCTTCTCCCCTGGGAAAGCCCTGGGATGACACCCATAATTAGCCAAGAAGGGGCTCATCCCTGTGGACACATTCTCGGCATTGTTGTAGGCAAATTCCGCCAGCGCCAACTTTTCTACCCAGTCATTCTCTCTGTCATTGACATAACACCTCAGGTATTGCTGGAGGACACCGTTTGCTCTTTCCGCCTGCCCGTTGGTTTCAGGGTGCCGGGCAGTCGAAAAGTTGACCTCCACCTGCAGTAAGCTCATGAGCTTCCTCCAGAACCTGGAAGTAAATTGTTTTCCTCGGTCTGAGACCACCCTCAATGGCACCCCGTGCAACCTAAAAATGTGTTCTACAAATAACTTCGCTGTCTCTTCCGCCGTGACTGCATGCGAGCAAGCTACAAAGTGGCACATCTTTGTTAGTAGGTCTACCACCACCATGATGGCTGTTTTCCCTTTGGACTTCGGCAGATCAGTCATAAAATCTATCGACACTGCCTCCCAAGGTCGTTCTGGTGTTGGTAAGGGTTCTAATAGCCCCGCCGGCGCTCGCCTTTCCCCTTTGGCTCGCTGGCACTGCTCGCACCCTCTTACATACTCACGTACATCCTCCCTCACCTTAGGCCACCAAAATTCCCTGGTGACCAACCACATGGTTTTGTGTTGCCCAAAATGCCCTGCCGTGGGGCTGTCATGCAACTGCTTGAGTACCCTCCCCTTAAGTCTCCTTCAGGGATATACAGTGCCCCTTTGTAATACAAAGCTCCATTTCTTTCCTCGAAACCCCTTGATTCCTCTCCCTCATCCCTAAGACCTCTGAGCTTATTCTGGGCGTATTCATCATTCTCTGTTTCTTCTACCAGTTCTCTTTGTCCCACCAATGCCGCCCCACACACCCAGCGGTCCTCTGGAATGACATGTCTCTCTTCGGGTGCTCCCTCCCCTCCAAATATTCAGGTTTGCGTGAGAGAGCGTCCGCCCTAATGTTCTCTGGGCCTGGCACGTAACAAATCTCAAAGTTAAATTTGGAGAATTCCTGGGCCCACCTCACTTGCCGTTGGTTGAGCACTCGTGCCGTCCTCCAATACTCTAGGTTCTTGTGGTCAGTGCACACTTGCACCTTATGTTGTGCGCCAATTAGCAGGTGCCTCCATCTCCGGAACGCCTCATGAATGGCTAGTAGTTCTCGGTCATACACCGTGTAGTTCCTCTCGGATTTGTTCAGCTTTCGCGAAAAAAAGCACACGGTCTCCACTCTGACTCCTCCTTCCCTGGCTGGAGAAGCACCGCCCCAACCGCTCTGTCTGATGCGTCAGTTTCCACTCTCATCGGTTTTTGTAAATCCACATGCAGGAGCTGTTGTTCCGAGGCGAAGGCCCTTTTTAGTTCCTCAAATGCTTGCTCCGCCTCCTCCGTCCAAACGAACTTCTTCTTACTGCTGAGACAGTCCGTAATGGGCGCCGTCAGGTGGGCAAAGTTTGGGATGAACTTACGATAGAAGTTCCCAAATCCTAAAAACCTCTGCACATCCTTCCTTGTTTTGGGTGTTTTCCATTCCAGTACCGCCTGGACCTTGCCGGGATCCATGGCCAACCCCTTGTCAGACAGGCGATACCCCAGGAATTCCACCTCCTTGGTATGAAACTGACACTTCTCCAGTTTCACCCACAGCTGGTTGGCTTGCAGCCTGCTCAACACTTCTCTGACGTCTCTCACATGCTGCTCCTCATTCTCAGAATACACCAACACGTCGTCCAAGAAGGCCACACAATTCTTGTAAAGCAACGGCCCCAGGACGTGGTTCATAAACGATTGAAATGTTGCGGAGCCTGCTTGTAGACCGAAGGGCATAACTAAGTATTCAAATGCCCCTAAAGGGGTGAACATGGTGGTTTTCCATTCATCCCCCTTCCTTATTCGTATCAGGTTGTACGCCCCCCTTAGATCCAGCTTGGTGAAAATCTTTCCCTTCCGCAGCTCCCACCATCCCTTGCCATTCCTTCCTCTGGGGGCAGACTCTGGCAAAGTGCCCTGGCTGTTGGCAGAGATAGCATTTCCGGGCGCCTTTTCCCTCCTTTTTCCCCCCCTCACTGGGCTTTGAAACTGCGCGCGCGCGCTGTTCCGATTTCCATCGGCTCTGCCGGCGGGAAAGTTGGCTCTGGAATGTCTGGAATGCGGAACTCCTTCCAACGTTCCCCTTCCCTTCCCGCCTCTCCAATGCTCTCGCCTCCTGGCGCGCTCCTATGGCCAGCGCTGATTTGGTCAGCTGGTCCATAGACTCCGCCCTGGGCGCCCGGGAAGTTCATCTTTCACAGCCGAAGAAAGCCCTTCTTCAAAGAGCATTTGAATGGGTTCCGCCGATAAGTCCCACCCCAATCTGTGTATCAGCATGGTGAACTCAGTCCAGTACTCACGTACAGATCGGCTCCCCTGTTTGCAAGCCATTAACTGTCTGCGCACCACTCCCTTTTCAATATCGCTGGAAAACATCAGATCCATGGCGCGAAAGAACTTCATCGTGTCCTTTAGGACGTCACTATGCGCTGCCATCAGGGGTCTAACCCAGTCTCTCGCCCCCTTTTCAAGATGCCCAATCACAAAAGCCACTCGTGATTCCTCATCAGGGAAATCATCAAACTGCAGATTGAGGGCATATTGCATTTCTGTCCGAAAGCTATGATAGTCTTTGGGCTCCCCCCCAAATTTCTGCACCAATCCTGGTACCTTTCTGGCGAGCTGGGTGGCTTTCTCCCTTTGTCTGCATCTTGAGCCCTCCTCTCCTCCAGCCTCGCCGTCTGCAGCGCCAGCTGGACCTCCAACACCCGGTACCTTTCTTCCAGGCTTGGACCCGCTCCAGCCCCTGCTTCTCCGGTTCCTGCTGGGTTGCTCATTATGCCTTCTCCTGCACAAGCTGCGTTCAAAGACTGTCGGAATGCTGTGATGGGAAGATGAGCTGCTTGTGCGTAAAATCGTATTCCCTCAGTGTTTGTTCAAGTCCACAAACCTCTGTCTGTGACGGAGCCCCTCTGACATGGCTCCTCTAGTCACTAGAAGATTCCGACAGTGGTTGCTTTCGTAATCGCTTCCAACATAAAAGCTCCTTAACGGAAACACGTCTTCTGGACTCTCTGCGTGACAGTTTCCGGCGAGGAGTGGGTGTCCCTACAGGAGGTCCGGAAACCTCACCACTGTTTTCGCTGGAAGTATCTCTGAGCCATCCCCCAGCTCCCTTTCCCTCAGTTCAGCTTCTCTCCCCTGCTGGTTTCCTCTTCAGCTGCTGAGTCTCTTCCAACCTGTCTGAGCCCTTTCACCTCCCTCAGTTCAGCTTCTCTCCCCTTGCTGGTTCCCTGTTCAGCTGCTGAGTCTCTTCCAACCTGTCTGAGTCCTTTCACCTCCCTTCCTTCCGATGGCAGTTCCCTGACAAGAACCTTTTAAACTATCTTTTTAAAGAATTTTTAATTTACTCTGTAAGTAGGTAACCCTCAAGCCTGACAGTCCAGCAAGTTCCTTTTCCCAATTTAATCTGACTTTGTAAGGTTCAACAAAGGTACTCCTTTGTTGCAAGGAAATGTCCCCTATAATACAAAAGTTTAAAAAAATATCCAGCCAAACGATTGGTTCACATATAGCTGCAAATACTATGCCTGCTCTCTTCTATTAAGTAATTTGCTAAAATTTTGCATTTGTGATATTCCATAAAGATTACAATTTTCTATTGCTCTTTTATTGTACCTTTCCCAATAATATAGCCTCTACCATGTGCATCTGCTTGGCTTGTTCCTCTTCCCGGAATTATCTGTGCTGAAGCTAATGCCTGGTGCAAACTTATTGACAATGAGACTTGACACTGGTTTCAGCTGATCAGATGTGAGGCTTCATGTTTCATTGCCCTCTTTATTTTGCAGGCAGAGTCTAGAGAACAGACTCGGAGATTAATGATCAAAGCCTCCAGCAACTGGAATAAATCAACACAAAGTAAACCACTTTCCGTTTCCAAGCCTTTGGCACACAGTAGCATCACATTTTCAAGTTTCCCCCTCTAACTTAGAGATTAAATGGGGGGGAGAGGGGGAGATACAAGTATGAAAACATTATTTTTTTTCTCATAAGGTAAGCTGCATGGAGGCCTGTCAAGATCAGATGTAAGTGTCAGGAGGCTGATGGAATCTTGCAGAAACTGTCAAAATCCTACAAAGTACTGTAGGGAGAAACGAGAAAACAAAACCTGTCCTGTACTGAAATATGAAGAGCAGACGGAGAAAGCTGTTTTTAGCTTCTGAGTAATGAAGAAAATGCATCTGTGTGTATGTGGTTGCAAAGAGCTGCTCTAGTGGCAATATACAGACCCCACTGAATCACACCAGAGCGATTGAACTGGATTTGAGCACTTGCTCAGTATCTAGGTATGTGGGAGAAACTTGATTCTGTTCATACAGTGGTACCTCTACTTACGAACGTGATCTGTTTCGGGGTGCTGTTTGCGCCCTGAAAAGTCTGTATGTATAGCACCGCTACTGTGCGTGAGCAAAGCACGATAGAGCGCTTCTGCACATGTGTGAAGCATGAAGATCACTTCTGCACATGTGTGAAATGCGCAGATCGCTTCTGCGCATGCGGAAAACCCGAAAGTAAACACTTCCGGGTTTGCCGCGTTCATAACCTGAAAATCTGCAATGTGAAGCAAACGTAACATGAGGTATGACTGTATTTAAAGGTGAACTCGCCTACTTTAGTCTTTCTTTCTTTCTTTCTTTCTTTCTTATCTGAAACAATATGTGAACTGAAACATAACTATCCTTCGGAAATTGCACTTCTGCAAATTTTACAATGTGATTTTTCAGGCAAATAATGTGTATTGTATACCTGAAGGAGCGTCTCCACCCCCATCATTCAGCTCTGAGGGCCTTCTGGTGGTTCCCTCACTGTGAGATGTGAGGTTAAAGGGAACCAAGCAGAGGGCCTTCTTGGTAGTGGCACCCGCCCTACCGTCAGATGTCAAGGAATGTCCTCCCATCAGATGTCAAGGAAATAAACAACTATCTGACTTTTAGAAGACATCTGAAGGCAGCCCTGTTTAGGGAAGTTTTTAATGTTTGATGTTTTATTGTGTTTTTAAAATTCTGTTGGGAACTGACCGGAGTGTCTGGGGAAACCCAGCCAGATGGGCAGGCAATAAATAATAAATAATTATTTTATTTTATTTTATTACAAACATGCATATGCTATGGTAAACTGTGTGTAATGATGCCTATATTAGCATGCAGAAATCCATTCTGTTGGGGGAAATTGCATTGCAAAAATGTTTATGTTAAGAGAATTGCATACAAAAGAAGGTATATTAAGGAAAATTCATAGTACTAATAATTCATTCTAATGAATTTTCATGAGAACCCCCCCCCCAAAAAAAAAAAATCAGAATCAGTGAAAATAAGGACAACTATACTTAAGGTATTCACCCATTCCTAATTAATACCTGAGCTCTGGTCTGATGTTGAAGCAACTTGACTCAGATATTGCCTGTGGTGCCTACAGATGACATCTACAATGGAATGCCATCAAGCTACAGTATGTGCTGACTCATAAGTGGGAAGAGGTGACAAAGACTTGCAGATACCCAATGAGAGCCAGGGTAAAAGACATGGGACTCCTGGAAGCGTCAACTATAGATAGAAATAGCAGTAGGGCCAGTGTGTTGGAAGCAGATCATGTATGGCAAACCTGTTCCATGAGAAGGCCTTACCTCAAAGCCCCAGAGCAGCAGAAAAATCCCAGCATTCAATGAGGAACGGAAAAAGGGCTCTGTGAAGGAAAAGAAAAGAAAGGACCTACCCGTAAATTACATTGTATGTCTCTACTGATCTTATTTGACTTTTTAATATATTGGTGATTTTGTGTTTGTTTGCGAGTGAAACAACAATTATGATGGTGTTCATAAAACTTTACATCATCAGGTCCCATGTCCTTCTCAAAGGACAGTCTTCTGAATTCTCCTGTAAAGAAAAACAGCTTAAATGTTGCCCTCAGAACTTCTTCTATCACAACCCAGAAAATTCAGGTTGCACAATTGTTGTTGACTGCGAAGCCTTGCACAACAAACCTGCTTCCCCAAAAGATCACCTTATTGTGCTAAGTGACAGAAAAATGCAATGGAATGTGTGAGATCGCACTTGCTTTGACACAACTTCATCTGACCTCCCTGCAAAACGAATTAGAATGAGTGTTCCTTAGATAGGCAACTTCATCTCATCTTCTAGCAAATAAATCCGGGTGAATTCTCAGTAGATACATCATCTGGAAGCACCCTATGATGAACAGAAATAATGCACCATTTTCCCTTGAATAGCAATTGTTGCCATAGAGTTCTATTTAAAAACTTACACCTCTACCAAAGTCATCTGGTGAGAATTAAATGCACACAGAGGCACAGAGAGATTTGAAGCTGCTGCCAAGAAGGCAGTAAGGGGAAAAAATGAGGCAAAATAATTCTTGCCACATACAGAGCTATATAGTTTATGTAAAGTTGTCATGAATTTCACCTTTTAAAAAAAAAGCGCTTGAGTAAAACATCCAGGGAATGAAGTCAGTAGAGTTTCTATTAGGCTAGAAAAAGAAATATTGAGGTGAGGGAAGGGCACTGCAAGTCCATATCTGAGGTTTACAGAAAGTCTTTACTGCATGTTGTCAATTCGTTCTGTGAGTGTCATCTCCCTTTTATTATCTCTGAGTGTCCGCCTGATTGTCTGTGGCTAGTTAAGAAACTCCACACGCAATGAGCAAGACTGATAGGACTTGGAATTAATGTAGCTCCCCCAATTTCACCTAGAGCAAATTTCCAAGGTGTATTTGGAGGGGTGGAGCCTGAGCAATTTGGAAGGAAACATGAAGAGCTTTGATAAGCAAAACTTCTCCAGGGCATCTTCTCATCCCTAGTTAGGTGTGATAGGCTGAGCACAGAGCATTTATTCTTGAGAGTTGCATTTTGTACATTTCCTCCCCCCCCCTTTTTTTAAGGCTCTGGACTTCATCTACAATATAGCATGATTAGTGTTGCCATATTCCCCAAAGTGAAAATCCAGACAAAGTTGTGGAGGTATTTTTTATTTTTATTTGGGTGGGGGAGCAAAGTTGTTAAATTGTGGGGCTTTTTATTTTTTATTATTTTTAAGCATTTTTAAAATAAAAAAATCACCCTACTTGTCATACATCCGGCTTTTCTGGACTATTTTGCCAATTCAGCAAAAAGCTGCCTGAACGCCATTTTGGCAGCCAGGTTCCCAGATGTGTCTGGGAAAACCTGTACATATGGCAGCCCTAAGCATGACTAAACTTCATAATCATGAAAGACGGGGGGCGGGCGGAATATGTATGTGTATATGAGTTTGGGGATTGCTTAAGATGACTAAGAGCTGCTTGGTTTCACAGTTGTATGGAGTTCTCATGGTTAAGTCACATTTACTGCTATTTGAGAATTTCTTTACACATAAAAAGAATGAGTTACCTATGAAATATTTTCCCCCTTGTGCACAGTTTGTAATGCTCAGGAGTCATATCTAATTTAGCACAAACCTACCTCAGGGTACACAAAGTATTGGTTTCTCTGCCCTGTCTAGCACTGTTGAAAATAAACTAGCAGTCGCAGACTTCTTTCCTCTCGGTAGTGTTTGAGACCTTACATTTGTTTCCGTGATTCTGTGAATCACCTGTGGCTTTAAATCTACAGTCATACCTCAAGTTACAGACACTTCAGGTTGTGTTTTTTTCTGGTTACGGACGCGCCGAAACCTGGGAGTACTGGAACGGGTTACTTCCGGGTTTTGGTGGTCACGCGTGCGCAGAAGTGCTGAATCGCAACCTGTGCATGCACAGAAGCGGCGCTGCGGGTTGCGAACGCTGCAGGTTGCGGACGTGGCTCCCACAAGGATCACATTCACAACCCGAGCATCCGCTGTATATGGTTTTGTGGCAAAACAAGGCCCATATGTAACCCCCCTGTGATCTTTAGAAGATTTGTGCACCTTCCCTAGCCCAGCACCACAGGCAGGTCTCACTCTGGGTCTGAGAGGGCCCTGATCAGGAAGTCCTCTAATGAAGTCCCATATCGGTCAGCAGCCCCATCCATCATCTTCCCCTCTCCTCCTTTTTATTTTCACCAGACATGAGGGGCAGATAGACTGGTCCTAAGTAGGTGATGTTGGTAGTGGAAGTGATGCTCACCTTATGAACGCCGGACAGCCACCATTGCAACTGCTTATAATGCCCTGCAGAAAAGCAGCATCATTCAAGAGCATCGTGGCCACCTGAGATGGCGGCTGCACAATGATCATTCGAATGCCAGAAAGAAGAGCCAAGGGTGATACCATCTGCATCCGTAGGTCCTTGGCATATTTCAAAGGATACTGGCCTCTCACTCTATACCTGACCCTAGACATAGTGATTCCAGGACTGCCAGCAGCATGGCAACATGACACCCATGGCACAGTTTGGCTGCATCAGTTTTTGTGAATACCAAGAAGGGGCATGCAGAACCCTCTGGAAAATTGTGCTGGTCTTCTTGTTGGCTTCAGAGACAGGGTAGTTTTGAGTGCTGGAGATGAATTTCTGACACCAACATGAAATCCCTGTGCAGTCATGAAGCTTACCGGGTGATCGTAAGCCAGTCTGGGAGAGCCAGTGATTGAAACTCCCATTGTTCTAGGTGCATTTTGTGACAGGGAATTTCATTGGCACGAGCCGTTTCTGAGTTATGGGCGTAGTCCTGTGCCTAAGATTTCAGATTAAAACTGCAGAGTGGAAGGAAAGAGGGATCTTTTCCTGCCCCCCTCCCTACTTCCAGCTACTCTCTGAAGACTGGAGAAGAGACCCTCTTATGAATATTAGGGGTGTGGGCAGGGAAAGGACTAGAACATGTGAAAAATGAACATAATATTTTAGCTGCAGTTCGTTCATTTTCAGCTTTGTATTCTTGATATGAAAAAGTGCGCCTAGACATTCCGTTGTTGTGCCCATAACCTAGGTTTAAGGTGCCATTTAGCAACAGCTTTCATATCTCAGTTTCTAACATTCCTCCCAGCTAAGCCTACATCAGAAGGATGTTATGAGAATAACACGGAGGCCTTCAGAACTTGTTCTCCATTGAGTGGAAAGTTGCACATCCATGTATGGTGGGCCACAAAGGGCTTGATGATTCTCCTACTTTTGCTGACTGCGAAAATGGGGAGAATTGCTAAGCCCTCAACAGATCTCTGCATAGCTGCTGGTCTGTGTTTTGAATTGATGGGTCAAAGCATCTGAAGTGGAACTCTCTTCTGCTCCCTCTCAAATATTTCCATGCTATCCTCATCTCCATTCTTCTTCTCCTTCCCAAGTTCCTTTCCCTTTTTTCTTTCCCACTTTTCTCTCTCTTCCCTATAGCTGGCTCACTGAACGCAAAACAGTTTGACGTACATAATAGTTGGGACAATAGATTATTTCTTCTGGGTAGCGGGGGAAGATAGGGAAGAAAGAGAAATGTGATGTTGTATTTATAAACTGAGGCAGGGGGCTCAATAAAAGTTCAAATATTACAGTGCATATAAAAAACCAGAGAGCTTGATTTAGTACTTTACCCCCTCCCTTGTCCCTTGTAATGGTTCACAGCACTGTGAAACTTTATTTACGGCACTGACAAAAAGTATTGGCAAAACCCCATGACCTTGAGAACAGAGGGCAATTTTTCTTTAACTATCTCCCTTTGTGTTCACTCTGAGTCACACACAAAGTTTTCCGGGTGAACTGCGGTTGCAATTGAATGTTGACAAATTGATCTCTGCTTTATTGCTTGGCTACATTTTAAAAAAGAATAAGTTCTAGTTAGTAAAAGCCCCTTCTTTTTTTGTTAGCTTGAAAAGCTTCTGCTTTCATAAACCCTCATTTTATATCATACATACAGAAATTGGCTCCATTTCAGTAGCTTTGAAACTAGGAGCTAAACACGAGCCATAGAATTTAAACTATTTCATATAAAAATTGAGGACATTGTTATATACCAGAGGGCAGGATTGAACATGCCTGCTGTAACTCTCGGTCCTCTTTGCGGTGCTTGCAGTCTTCATGATCTCTCTTAAAATGAGGAGCCTCCGTCTGTGCACAAGAACTATTTCCATTAGCCTCTCAGTGATCTGGCTCTAATGACTCTTTTCTGGAGTGTAAATTGTATCTGGTAATGTCTCCCAATTATAGATCAGTAACAGTTAATGCAGCCTTAGCTTCCATTTAAGAAAGTGGTTTCTCCTCTATCCCACTGCTCACAGTGTACAAGAACATAAAAAGAGCCTTCTGGATCAGACCAATGGCTCTTCTTGTCCAACAGCCTGCTCTCATAATGGCCAACCAGTTGCCTGGTATTCAGAGGCATACAAACATAGACCACTTATAAATGCCATTTCCAACTCTATGAAAAAGCCCATCAATGTTGTCTCCAAAAATTTGTACACATCACCAGGGAAGACAGGTGAACTAATGCCAGTGTACTGGAAGAAGCAAAGATCACCAGTGTCA